TGGTCTGGGCCTCAGTTCAGAAAGCAGCCACTGCTCCATTCCGACAGTTTCGGGGACTTTTATCGTGTCCATTTGTCCGAGGTCTTCGTGGTAAATTCTCCATTTGTTGGGTGACCGTTTACCTCTCAAAGTGCATTTGGTTCTTTTACATGGTTTTCATATTTCTCTTCATTACACCAGGGCTTTCTCGTAAATCCCTTACTTTAGTCATAGTAGCTGTTTGAACGTTCTTACCTCCTAGTTTCCGATTTTCTTGTGTATGTGATTCTGTTCCTGTTCCGTCCCAGCCGTGGTAGCCCGTGTGCCGAGGTGGCTGGACGCTGGCCACCGTGGGCCGTGCCAGTAAGGGTCTGAGTGCCGCGTCCACTCAGTGCTGAGTTCTCTGATGAGCAGCTACCCTGCTCACAGGCCCGTTTCTTCATCCCAGGCGGGTCAGACATACCCTTCCCTGCGAGGCTGGTTTAGCCCGCGTGGGGCCTACGCCTCGCCGGGGTCTCTGCTGGGTCTCCACCCACGTCCCGGGCGAGCTTCCATGTGCCCAGGACTCAGCAGTGGCAGACCCGAGGGTGCCTGCACCATCCCCGCAGCACCTGTGTGGCAAGCGCCTGCCACCTCGACCTCCCTAGCGTCAAGGTTGCCCTCACTGGGTTCCCTCCCTGGTCCAAGGCCCGCTAAGTGCCCCCGGGGAGAGCAGAGGCTGGCGCAGGGGTGTGTGGCAGCCTGGGGCGAAGCTGCCCAGGCAGCCGCAGCCTGTGGGACTGTATCCCAGGCCCTTTAGCCTGGAGAGGCCCGTTACCCAGAGGCCACTGCGGCTGCCGTGCGACGATGAGGCAGGACAGCCGTGGCCCTGGGCCCCAGAGCTGCCCCAGTTCTCTGGGATGAGCCGGCGCCACCATGCCTCTGCGTGAGTTCGTCCCCGTCGGGCTGCGCGCCTCTGGGGAAGCGGAAGGGCATGGGATCCGACTGCTCTGGGGAGGCAGGCAGGACGGGGCCTCTGGGGCTCCCCTCCGTCCCCACCCTCCGGCTGGGTGTTTACAGATGGAACTCGGGTGGGTACTGGGCCCCATGGTTCCACTCAGTTCTCCGCTGTGGGGCCAGACCCCGTGGCTGTGCCCTGAAGTCCTTCCCCCGCACGCCAGCTGCTGTGGAGAAACCGTGCGACCACCCTGCTCCCCCCGCCTCTGTTGCAAAACGGAGCAGGCAAGCCCCCGTCCGAGCAGCCCCTGCCCCTCTGACTCCAACCTGCTGCTCCACAGACCACCGTCCTGCCTCGTGTCTTACGTCTTTCCGTCTAAATGCTCACCCAATCTTTCCTGCTCATTCATCCTGGGACACAGAGCCCTGTGAGCCTGTGCCTTGCTTCACTGGGGTGTCCTGGCCCCCTTTCCCTTTGACGCTCAGGTCTCCTTCCCCTTCAGGGAGTTTCTGGAAAGTCAGGCAGGAAGCCCCCAAAGCTGTTCAGTCTGTGTCCCTTCCCTCAAGGGCTTGTCAAGTCACCCTCTGAAGCACCACTCGGAGCTCAGCAGACACCCCCCCCCCCTTCGCCTTTCACCCGGTGCTTTTTTTTTTAATGTTTTTATTTATTTCTGAGAGAGACAGAGAGAGACAGTGTGAGCAGGGGAGGATCAGAGAGAGGGAGACACGGAATCTGAAACAGGTTCCAGGCTCTGAGCTGTCAGCACAGAGCTCAACGTGGGGCTCAAACCCACGAACCATGAGATCATGACCTGAGCCAAAGTCAGACGCTTAACCGACTGAGCCCCCAGGCGCCACATTGCCCAGTGCTTTTATTCCCCCTGTCACACAGGAGGGCATAAACGTTCCACGCCAGTGAGGCTCCTTCACGTTAGCGGCTTTGGACTGGGTTTCTCTGGGGTCTCAAGAGGTGGCCATGAGGGAGGCTGTGTCTAGGTACGTGTACAAGTTGGACCAGTTACGCCTGGAGGGGCCGGCAGCTGGGCCATGTCCCCAGGCAGAGGCGGGTGCTGGCAGCCAGCAGTGAGAGAGCGCCGCTGCCGGGCTTTGAGGGCCAGCGGTGAGGGCGCCCCAGTGTCCTGACTGCGGGCAGGAGGCAGGGCTCACGTGCCCCTGCGATGGAGGCACACGGAGCCGCGGAGGGAGCTTCTGCCCAGGCCACGGCCCCAGAGAGCTGCGATGAGACCGCCAGCCCCGCGGCGGGGTCCCGAGGGAGCAGACCCCCGGTCGATGCCATGGAAAGCCCAACTTTTGTCAGAGGTGCACAGAGCTGCCAGACGGCCAAAACTCCAGAGAGGAGGACGCACAGCCCAGCTGCGGGACGCCTTCCCCTCGAGTCACCTGCCAACGCGACTGGGAGTGCGTCGGGGTCCACCTGGCCTGGGGAGACCAGTGTTGGAGGTCAGGTGCCTCAAGGAGGGGGTACAGAGACGCCGTGCGCAGCAGACTCCGGGGGCAGCCCAGCGTGCCCGGGACACCTGCCAGCTGGGGCCGCGGCTTGGGGCCCCGTCCTTGAAATCATCATCTGGGCCCTCAGCACCGAAAGAGCCGTGAATCCTGGCCTCTCATAAAACACCTCACGAAGCGCCCTCGCCCTCAAACCTGACGAGACCTGTTGGAAACGTGACTCCTCCTGCCAGAGCCTCGTGAGGCTGGCGGCTGTGACCCCACTTTCCTCCCCGGTCACCAGGACCGGGACCGGCTGCAACCCCAACTTGGAAGGGAAGGGGCTGGGGCCTCAGCTGCGTCTTGCCTGCCACAGAGGAGAGCTGGGCTGTCCCACGGCGAGGTCGCTGCGCGGGGAGGCAGCTTGCTCCGCTTGGTAACGGCCGTCAGCTTGTTCAGGTCACGGTTGCTGCAGAAATACGTCTATCGGATCACGTGTGCGGGCGACCGTCTCTGATTTTTCTCCTTGCCTCTGGGGCGATTTTGTCACATTCTTGTTTCACCTTCTTCTCAAAGTCCCTCCTGAAGCAGGTCCGTCTGGCCACTCCCATCTTCGCGTCTCCTCGGCCGTGTGTGTGAGCGCTAACAGCTGCCCCGTCCTGCCTTGCTGCCCTCACCCTCAGGAGCCGCCAGAGCCTCCCCACCCCCCCCCCACTTCCTGGCCGGCCGCCGTCCCACAGCGGGGTCTGGATGCCGAGGGGCCCTCAGCCTCACACCACTTGCTCACCTAAACACGTGACGTTTACACCCGTGGGGTCCCAGAGTAAACAAGCATCTCGGGACGCACAGAGCACCGGTTGTAAAGCTTCTAAAAAACTAGTGACTTGTAACGTCATGAAAACGTCAACCTCAACCCTGACGCCCAACAGAAGCAGTTTGCTGGCATGAAACGATGGGAATGTTCGCATGTCTAACAGGCTCCATAAAAGGCCCCCAGCACGGCTCCCGCGGGGCGCACCAAGACCTCACAGGCTTCGCTCCTTCCCACGTGCCAGAGCCTCACCACTCATGCGGCGGCCAGGGGTCTCAGGGCGCCAAGGTTTCGTGCCCACCACGTTTGGGGACAGGCAGTGACAGAAGGCAAAGGTCAGTTCACAGGTCATAGGGTGGGAGCGAAGCAGGGAAGTGGGGGAGGAGGTGATGGGCAACACAGGCACCAGGGTAATGTCTGGGGTGGAACCTTCTGGATTTTACAGTGATTTGCACAAGAGTCCGCATTTGTCAAAAGCTAGTGAGCTATGTGCTTTAAGTTAGTGCATTTTATCCTCTGTGTGAATAGAACAGACTTGGAAAGTGAGAACTCCCACTCGCCAGGAGCTCACGGCTGCTGCTTCCTCGCTGCCGGGTTCCCGGGTCCCAGCCGCTCTGAGGGCAGCCGTCTATCCCCAGGGATCGGCAGTCCGGGCCGTCAGCACCTCCTTGGAGGACCGGCCTCACAGGACCCTCCCCATTCGGGTCCAGTGCGTCTGTCTGAGCCATGCTGCCCAGGGCGCCGCGGGTCTCTGAGGGCTGGATTTGGGCCCCCATGCCCTTGGACAGAGTGTGGGCCCAGCAGCCTCTCCCCACCCCTCCCTCTTCCCCTCCCCCTCCGGTGCCCACTGACAGGGTTATAATCAGGCCTGATTATTTTCAAGTCACTAAAACAACTTACCAGATGTGCAGCTGCCAGAGGAACTTTCCACATTTCCGGCTGGGACGCAGCCGTGACAGCCAGCATCTCTCTGGGAAACAGGCTGGTTGTGCGGGGAAACCCCAGGCTCTCGGCACTCCATCCACTCCGAGACTCTGTGACCTAACTTCTTACGACCAAGATGCTAAGTCACTTTTAGGGACAAGCCCTATGGGAAAACTGCCATGGTCCAGTTAGTGCTAAGTCTGTAGGCGAGGCCAACAGCGCTGGGATGCAGGGCAGGCCTCCCCGATGGCGGTTTCTCCCCAGGCGCATCGGACTTCGTAGACCCTGGGTCACCAAAGACCCTGCTGCAGAACAAGCCAGGGCCGCTCAAGGCCTCTCAGGACAGACAGTGGGCGGCACCATCTACCCCAGCAGAAGCCCAGGTCCCAGTTGACCTCGCTCATGGTCACTCGGGGCAGGACTTGGGGGCCGCTGGCTGTGGAGGACAAGGTGGCCACGCAGGTGCCCCCCCACCCCAGACTTCCTGGTAAGCAGCCAGAGCCTCGTCCCCCTCCCACGTGACTTGGGCACAGGTCCCAGGGGCTGCCTCAGGCCAGTACTTGCTGACAGTCACCACAGCAATTACCCCAGATGCAAACTACATCAGACAGCAGAGGCCAGCGCACGGTTCTGTGGGTAGGAATCCGGCAGCCCTGGAGGCCACGACGGTGGTGTCCGAATGCTGGGTTCCACCCAAAGCTCTGGGGAGAAGCTGCCTCTGAGATCGGCCAGGGGCGGGGGCGGACACCATACTGAGGGACAGGGGCCGGGACCTCGGGCACCGGCATTTCTCAAAAGGCCACCTATGCGAGTGCATCAGGCTGGCCTGGGCAGAGTGTGCCATGGCCAAGGTCCTCAGTGAGCGGGCCCGGCCTGGGCTCAAGCGCTGCCCCACCCCCCACAGGTGGTCCTTGTCATCAGCGGGAACCTGAGCTTCCTGAACTGGCTGACCATGGTGCCCAGCATCGCCTGCTTTGATGACGCCGCTCTGGGGTTCTGGTTTCCCTCCAGGCCTGGAGGCCTCAAGGACCAAGTCCTGAAGATGCAGGAGGAGGCTGCCCGAGGGGCCCGGCCCACCCTGAGATACGGTGGGTGGACGCCCCCTTCAACGGACACAAGCCCTTCGTCCCTAGGACCGGGACGACCAGCCCACGAGAGGGAGTCCACATAGGCCTCAGAGGGTGTCCTGGTGTGGGGGCTGCGGGCAGGACCCTCCCTCCACTCCTGTGAGCCCACAGGAGCTCCTCCCTGGTGGGGGGCCAGGCCCAGAGGGAAGCTCACCCTGCCATCCCCCGCTCTGCCCCCACCAGGCTGCATGGTGCGGCGGGCGGTGCATGTGGCGCTAGGCATCCTGGTGGCCTGGCTCAGTGTCCCTGTGGTCCTCAACCTGCTGAGTCCCACGCAGGTCATGAACACCTCCTTCAACTCTCTGCGGATCGTCAACACATACGGCGCCTTCGGAAGGTAGGTGTGAGGTCTCCTTGCCCCGTGCTCTGTGTGCACACGTGTGATCCAAGGTCTCTCATGGAGACCCAGCCCAATCCTCCAGGGGGAGCAGCCTTAGCCGAGGGCAAGGTCGTAGGGAGGTGGGTGCCCCAGGCTCCCCCACGTCCGCTCAGGAGAGAAGCCAGAGTGCTGAGGCGCAGCAGCCTCCGCCGTCATGTGCCCAAAGCCCCCTGCCTCGGTCTCCCCACAGCATCACCAAGGAGCGCACAGAGGTCATCCTGCAGGGCACGGCCAGCCCCAACGCCAGCGCGCCGGACGCTGTGTGGGAGGACTATGAGTTCAAGTGCAAGCCGGGTGACCCGGGGCGGCGGCCGTGCCTCATCTCCCCATACCACCACCGCCTGGACTGGCTCATGTGGTTTGCAGCCTTCCAGGTAAGGGCCTCTCTGCTCCCGGCATGTTCCCAAGGCCACAGTGCCCTTAGTGGGGGTGAGCCCTTGCCTCCCATGACCCCCGGTGTCAGGGCCTCAGCGGGGGGGCTTGTTCACCTCTCTGGCAGCGCTCCGTGGGGCACCGCACTGGGCACAGCGCCCAGCACATATGACCGAACTCCCCTCCCCGGGGAGTGTCTTCCCTGGGGTAGCCCGCGCGCCCTGCTCTGCACGGCAGTGGGGCCCCACGGGTGAGGGTCTCCACGCTGCCCGGACCCCCTCGCACAAGCCCTGTGGGTGCAGGGGACCAGGGCGTCAGCGCCAGCTCCTCCAAGCCCCCCCACCAGAGAGAACAAGACGGGTGCAGCCGACACGCACATGCCCTGCGCGCCCCACAGGGACCCCATCCCCCCGTTGGCCTGGTGGGGCTGTCACTGCCCCGTCTGCCTGTGAGGACGGCCTCAGGAAGACCATCAGTCACACGAGGTCCCCGGCCCGGCAGGTGACAGCACCGGCAGGCCAGGGGCAGCTCCGAGGACAGGACAGTATGGCGGGAGCTCGGCCCCGAGAGCAACCAACGGTCCCCAGACACCTGCCCCACGGGCGAGAGCAGGGAGGGCCCCTCCGAAGAGCAACCCGGATGGAGAAAGTGGGAGTGCGGGCCCCGCGCACACTTGGGGGAGTGACGAGGCAGGGGGCTCCCCACGCGCCCGGTTCTGTGCCCGCAGCCAGGACCCCACTCCTTTCTCACCCCCAGACCTATGAGCACAACGAATGGATTATCCACCTGGCAGGCAAGCTCCTGGCCAATGACAGGGGAGCTCTGTCCCTACTGGCCTTCAACCCTTTCCAGGACAGGGCCCCCCCCAGGTAAGAACCCCTCCCTGGACACCCAGCATGCCCTCAGCACTCTCTCGGGGCTTCTCCTCCAAAGCAGGCACCCCCCAGACATGCCCCAAGCCCCCAAAAACATGGCTGAGTGCCAAGGTCCTCCGCCCCCACCTTGACCACCACTGCTCACCTATGCCAGGGGTGGTGGCCTGCAGAGAGCACGGTGCAGAACCGAGTGTTGAGCCCTTCCTTTTCCAGAAATCACCTGGGCCCCACCCCCCCAACTCCCCCTTAGCCTCTCCTGAGGAGCGGCCGCTCCGCAGGCAAGGGGCCAGGCCACCTGACGCGGGGTCTTCCCTTGCAGGTGGGTCCGGGGAGAGCACTACAGGTACAAGTTCAGCCGCCTGGGGGGCCAGCACGCTGCGGCAGGCAGGTGGTGGGTCCGGAAGAGGATCGGCCCCTACTTCCCCCCACTCAGCCTCCGAGACCTGGAGGGCTACTTCCGGTCCCGGGACTGGCCACTCCCCAAACCGGAGTAGGGGCGGCCCCGGGCCTGTGCGTGGAGGAATAAAGCAGGGAGGCCCGGCCACCTCGGTGAGGCCTCGTGTGCCCGGGCACTGCTGCTGCTCCCGGTCGTCCTCAGAAGCAGGCTCACACAGGAGGGGGTCCCGGGGCAACTCGTGCTGGCCTCCCGAGTCAGTCCACGGGCCGGCACGTCCCCTCCCTTACAGACGGGGTTCACCATGGAGCGCCCGCCCCCAGTCCCGTCCCTGGTCACCAGTACCGCCCTGACCCCGCCGAGTCCACCAGCACCAGGGCGCTAACCCCATCACGTGCCGGCAGGGCCTCAGGGAAGCTGCCCCTCCCTGCCTGTGCTCTTAGTCTCTCAAAAATAAATAAATAAACATTTAAAAAAATTAAGGGGCACCTGGGTGGCTCAGTAGGCTAAGCATCTGACTCTTGATTTTGGCTCAGGTCATGATGTCACAGTTCATTAATNCCCGTCACCCCTCCACACCCAGGAGGGGCCCGGGAGAGGGAGAAGCCAAGACTCCTGTCCTCCCCTTGTGCCCGCCTCCCCCAGGTCCAGGCCCAGAGGCATGAACAGAAGCCCTCTGTTCCTCTCTGCGCGAGCCCCCACCCCCCACCCCCCCGTGACTGTGGAGCCTCCTACTCCCTGACCCGGGCCCTGGGAGCGCCCACGGCGCCAATCCCGAGGCCTGACTGGCACAGGTTAAACTACGTTAATCATTCCTCACTAGGCGTCCTGACGCTCTCTGCCAAGTGACCTGGGCTGCGGCCCCACACCCTCGCTGCCTGGTGTTAGCTGGGAGCAAACACGACTCCCGCCCCACGGTGGCGGCCCTGCTGACCAGGTGGCCCGGATCCGTGCCTGCTTGCCCCTCCCCCTCCCCGCCCCAGGGAGGGTCCCGGCGGGAACGAGGTGCTTCAGGCAGGAGGCTGGCAGAGGGGGGCACAGTGCGGGTCTGTGTGGAACGCCGCCCCCCCACAGCCCGCCCCGGGGGCCAGCCGGTCCAGGTGCCGACAGAGAGGCCGTGTTCCTGCTCGCGGGGACACAGGCTCCCTGTGTCTGTCTCAGGACAGACGCAGCCTCAGAAGAAGAGCCTGGAGCCAGCGAGTCTGCCTGCGGCCGCCGCACGGGGCTGCCCACCAGCCCGCAGTGGCCTGGGCAGCCCTTCCTAGGGGCCGTCCCGGGCGCTGTGCCGCTGCCCTGCCTGAACCACAGCAGGCCCCTGGCATCTCTTCTTCCCATGCCCTGGGCTCACCACGCCCCTGCCCGCAGGCTCCACTCAGGGCCTCATCCAGCTGTGCCCCCACCCCAAGTCTCCCAGGACACGATGCTTAGGCCTTAGGGGCTCACCTGCTCCCCAGAGGGCCGCTGCAGGGGACACATGACATCTCTCACCCCCTGCACCCTCTCAGAGCCTGTTCTGAGGCCCACAACCTCCCTCCTGAGACCCCGTCCCCTCCTCCATACAAGGGTCTCCCATGGTCCCCGTTCCTCACACCCACTAGTGCCGGGCCGTGGGACTTTTGCTCCGGCAGCTCCCATGCCAGCTCCACACACCACACCCCCCTTGAGCGCCACCTCATCCTGCCTTCACTGGACCCCAAGCCACTCCTGGTGGGGACTTGCCGGGCCCCCCAGTGCCAATTGGCACTGATGCAGGTGTGATGGATCAACCGTCCACCTCGCAAAGGAGAAAGGCCCGAACTCTGCACCTGCTCGGCCTGACCCTGTTGTCTCTGGGAATCTGTTTCTTGGTCAATCCAGGAGAAACTTCAGGGGCTGGGGGCTCAAGGACACGTGGGGACGTTAGCCGTCCAGGTCTGAGGGGCCGCCGGATACCCTGGTCCACGTGGACCAGGGGCCTTCTCTACCCACCCCAGCTCCGCCCTACAAAATCGTTGCGCAGGGGCGGGGCTTGCAGAGGAGGGCCCTCTTCCCGACTTGGAAGAAACAGATGGTGGCAGACACGGAGCAGGTCAGGCCCAGGTCAACCGCTAGATACACTGCGCTCACCTCCTGAACCCCAGCGGGGGCGCCCAAGGCCCTGGGGAGCCCAGCCCTCCCGATCCAAGGACCATCTGAGGGCCAGGGACGGCAGCCCACGCCGCACACGAGGCAGGGTGTGCACGAGCCATCACCGAGCTGCGGGGCGGGGGTACTCTCCCGTTTGCCGAGAGGCTTTTGGCTCGGCAGTGATAAAATGCTAAGACCAAGCATGTGCCCCTCTCGACCTCGGTCGGACCACAGACCTGGGGGAACATCGGGTTCCTGGCGCGGCCCCCTCTCCCCAGGCTGCTGCACCTGCACCGGGAAGGCCCTGTGCTGTGCGGCCTGGGCAGCCGGGTTGTGTCTGCACAGGGTCCGTGCCTCAGGCACCGTGGCTGGGCCAGAAGGGAAGGTTCTCTGGACGCACACAGTGACCAATTCGAGAAGGGTGTAGGTTCCTAAACCCGGCCAGGTGGGCCCGGGCCACCCGAGCGGGAATTAGCCATGGCTGTCCTGTTGAGCTGCTATTGCGGTAACTCATGCTGGTCACCACGTGCTCTGCCATCTCTAGGGTGACAGCCCTTCTCCACTCCAGGTGCCCATTTAGGGCAGTTCTTCTCGCCTCACCAGGCTCGCAGCACCGGCGCTGGTTTTCCAGCCAGCATCCCTGTCCCTAGTACAGACACACGTGCTTCCTTCCTGCCACCATCAGGGCTTCCTGGACGGCCCTGCCAGCACTGACGTCCCTTGGGAAGTGAACACTCTGGAAAGGGTGGCCAGAACGCTCTGGAAAATTCCAGCCCCGAGGCAGCTGCTTGCCTCCCTCTGCCGACAGGTCCCCTTGCTCGGCAGCACCAAACGTTCCCTGGGCCCGTTCCCCACGCCGACCACCCTGCCCTGTAGCCTCGCGGCATAAAGATGCCGTTGTCCTGAGGGGGTTGGTTCCAAACATTGAGTAAAGCAGACCTGACAGATGAGCAAATCGGCCTTTAAAACTCCTAAAGTAATCCATGAAATCGACAAACCTTTAGTCTGACAGAAAAAAAGATGCAGAGAACTAAAATCAGAAAACAGAAAAGGGAGCGTTACTACTGGACCTTAAATGTAAAGAATTAGAAGAGTGCTAAGAGCAAGAGCATGCCGATCACGTCGACAAACGGACATAATCCTAGAAACACACCAACCACCAAAAGCAACTCAGGAAGAAACAAAGTTGTACAAGATCTAGAACAAGAGACTCCATCAGTAATCAAAACCTCCCAATAAATAAAAACATTGGACCAATGGCTTCACTGCTGAATTCTGCCAAGAACTTAAAAGAGAATTAATACCAATTCTTCCCAAACTCTTCCAAAAAACGAGAAGAGGGAACACTTCCTAACTCCTCTTGTGAAGCCAGTTTTACTCAATAACAAAGCCAAAAAACATCCCTTAACAATAAAGATACAAAAGTCCTCAACAAAATACTAGCAAAACAACAGCACAAGAGGATTCTATGCCATGGCCAAGCGGGGTTCTACCCCAGGCGTGGTGGAGCGGTTCAGTGGGAGAAAATCCATCACCGCAGGACGCCACATCCACACAGAGTGGCGGGGGGGGGGGGGTGCGCACACAGTCCTCTCGACAGATGCAGGAAAAGCATCGGACAAAATCCAACACCCGTTCAGGATAAGACCCACTCAGAAAACTTCCTCAGCATAATAAGAGGGAGTTAGCTGCAACGCACAGCCAACATCATACTCAACAACAAATGCTTTGCCCCCTGGAGCAGAACTGAAACAAGGATGTCATCACCGCCACTCGACACCGCACTGGGATTCCAGCTAGCGCGCTTAGGCAAGAAAAACAGAAGTGTAACTACCTCTATTCACAAATGCCATGATCCCAGAGGTAGAAGATTCTTTTTTTTTTTTTTTTATTTTTAATGTTTTATTTATTTCTAGGAGAGAGAGAGAGAGAGAGTGAGCAGGGGAGGGTCAGAGAGAGAGGGAGTCACAGACTGAAACAGGCTCCAGGCTCTGAGCCGGCAGTCAGCACAGAGCCCGACGCGGGGCTCGAACCCACAAACCACGAGATCATGACCCAAGCGAAAGCCGGACGCTTAACCGACTAAGCCACCCAGGCGCCCCCCAGAGGTAGAAGATTCTGATGATCCACAAAAAACAAACAAAAAACACCCAACACTGGAGCTAATAAACTAATTCAACAAAGTTGCAGGGTACGAGACCCACACACAAAAATCAGATATGTCTGCTCTTTACACCAGCAATGAACAATCTGGAAAAGAAACTAAGGAAACTATTTCATTTACAATTGCAGCCAAAAAATAAAATACCTACCAAAAACATAAACAAGGAGATCCAAGACCTACACACTGAAAACTACATAACACTGCTAAAAAGAATTCTAAAGACCTAACTCAGCAGAAAGGCATCCACATCCACAAACTGGGTGACAATAATGTTACGATGACATTATTACCCAAAGTAATCTACAGATACAACGAAGTCTCTATCGAAATTCCATGGGCCTTTTTTGTAGAAATGGAAAAGCCAATGCCCAAATTCACACAGAACTGCAGTGCCCCAAATAACAAAAACAATCTTAAAAGGAAGTTGGAGGCCTCACGTTTCCTCATGTGAAGACTTACTCCCAAGCTACAGTTATGAGCACAGTGTGGTCCCGGCTCAGACACAGACTCGTGGCCCAGAGGGACAGAGCGGAGAGCTAACGACCCACACGCGTACTGTCAAATCAGTTTCTGACGACAGCGCCAAGACCACGCAGGGAAAGGGCAGTCTTTTCAACAAATGGTGCTGGGAAAGCAGGATCTCAGCACTGAGCCACGAAGTCGGGCCCTTACCTCACACCATATTCAAAAATTAACTCCAAATGGATGAAAGAGCTGCAACTATTAAAAGTCCTAGAAAAAAACATGGATTTAGCGATGGATCCTTTGATAGGACAGCAACAGCAGGGCACCAAAAGAAAAACCAGATAAACTGGACACCGTCAAAATGTTAAGCTTTTGTGCATCTAAGGACGGTATCAGGAAACTGGAAAGACAGCCCGCACAGTGGAGAAAATGTCTGCAAGTCAGAGATCTGACAAGAGTCTAGTCACCAGGATATAGAGAACTCTTACAGCTGATGACAAAAAAGACAAACCAAATCAAAAGGACTTGATTAGCCATTTCTCCAAGGAAGGCACATGAGTGACCAAAAAGCACATGAAAAGATACCTGACATCCTTAGTCCCTGGGAAATGCACGTGAAAACCACAGCGGGCTACTACTTCACACTCACTGTAATGACTGTGGGGCTTTTTTAATAAACATGACAAGTGTTGGCAAGGATGT